CCAATATGTCCAACTAGACTTGCTATGTTTTCTTTCTCACTAGTTTCAGTCTCAGTCATCTTCCGTGTATATTTGTACATGCACTCGTTTTCTTTCTACTCACAGAGTTGTCTCTTTCTCTCGACATTTTGTTGTGAAGTGAGTGTCTTTACTCTCTCCTCCTTTTTTTTGTTACACGCGGTGTGCTCCACTGCTGTCTCTCTCTCTCACTCTCCGGCTCTCACAGACATGTGCAGGAAGCCCTTCCCTCGCTGAGATGCTTGCCCACGCTTAAACTCATGCAGAAACCACGCTTAAGCTCAGCGTTTCGGACTTTATCATGAAAAAAAACGGTCATAAACGTGTCTACACTTAACATATCCCTCCTTTGTTGCCAGTTTTGTTGTGTTGTCATGAAAGTATCACGCACAACCTCAAAGGAAGAGATGAAGTATTTTGCAGCTTGCGTTCTATTTTACTTCTCTGGACTACAACACCCAGGTAGGCACAGACAACAGTATGGTGCGCCGAACGGCCAAAGCACATTACCAATACATAACAGAAACAGCATCCTATCCACACTTGAGGTTAGACAGGCCAACGTTTAATGTCCTCTGATAAATATGACGGTGAACTTCAAACTTGTGAGGGTTAAAGAGTGCAACACAATCTTAATTTTTAGTACTTAAAGGATCCACGACCACCAGGTATTATTTGTGACATATCTGTAAGATATTGTGCTTACAAAGCAAGTGACAGAGGCAATTACAGAAGAGGGGCTTTTCAAGTTTCTCTATCCAAGGTTTTTTTCAGGTCACATGGAAAATGATCTCAGCCAAAAATGCTCCTCCCTTCATGGTCTCTACTGCCATATGGCTTGCAAGCTCCTCAGTGCCTCCTGCTGAACCAGCATCAGCTGTGCTCCTCAAGCCAGAGACCTTAACCAAGCTCTCTAAGTTCCTACAGCTGCACTGTCTATGGATCCTCCCCTGCTGCATTGGTCTCTTTGTCCTCAGGCATCCACAGGACTCCAATGGCTTCTGGACTTAGCACCTTGACAGCCAACGCTAAGGTGAAATTTGTTGAAGCTTTAGAGATGTTGTGTGTCCTTTTAGGTGCTGCCCCCAGCCAGATCCAGCATGCATAGCTCCCCTCTCTGTTAAAGTACCTGTTCCTGTTTCTGACATAAGTACAGTCTATTTTCCAGTATTCTGTTTTTGACCCTCTCTGTCTGTCATCAGTCTTCTCCTCTACACAATTCCTAAGTCAGCTCCCTGTTACTGATTCGGCTCCCAAATCTTGAAATGGCTTCTCTATGAGTCACAACTCTGTCTTTGATCTAATTTCCTGTTTTAATTTCTGCTCCTGCTTCAGATCCAAACATTCCAGTTCCTGAGTCCTTTTCAGTACTAGATTTAGCTCCCATTCCTCTTTTTGTTCTTGATGCAGCTCCCCTCTTTGTCTCAGATACTGCCACAAAGTTCTGACACTTTATATCATGCAGGTAAATGTTCTAGTCTGCTTGTATTTTGCCTGTCTCTTCAACTTCTGACACAGAGCTTGACACAGGTCATGTGGCAGCTCTTGCCACTGTCACTGCATAAGTTGCTAATTGAGTGTGATTCAGGCTGGTTCAATTTTAATTCCATCACTGAGCACTGACTTTCTGTCCCTTAATTGGTCACAGTCCCTGAGACACAACTGGTTTCTGTCTCTCAAATGGTCACTGATATCATCCCTTTAGTGGTCCCAGTCCTTGTCACCCAAGTGGTCCCTGGCTCTCAAATGGTCCCAGTGCCTGTCCTTTGAGTTGTCCCTGTTCCTGTAACACAAGTGGTCCTAGCCTCTCAAACAGAGCCTGTGCTCATCCCTTGAGTGGTCCCAGTCCTTGTCACATAAGTGGTCCCTGTCTCTGGTCCCTGTGCTCATTTCTTTGAGTGGTCCCAGTCCTCATCACACAAGTTGTCATTGTATCTTAATTAATCCTAGTGTTTGTGGTGCCAGTACATGTGACCCAAGTTCTCCCTGTCCCTCAAATGGTGATAATGTCTGTCCTTTAAGTTGTCCCAGTGCCTGTGATAAAATTGGTTCCTGTCCCTCAAATGTGGTCTTTGCTCCTCAAGTGGACCCTGTCCCTGAAATAATCCCAATGCTTTCCCCTTGAGTGGTCCTAATCTCTGTCCCTCAAATGGTCCTGGTCCCTGTCCCTCAAACACTCACAGTACCTGTCCCACAAGTGGTCTCTGTCTCATAAATGGTCCCAGAGGCTGTCCCTTGAGTGGTCCCAGTTCCTGTTCCAACAAATGATCCCAGTGCCTGTACTTAATAGCATCAGTGCTTGTCCCTCAAGTAGTCCTAGTCCCTGTGATGCAAGTGGCCCTGTCCCTTGATTGATCTCAGTCTCTCTCCTTTATGAGATCTGTTATGTGCTCCTTCTTGGCAGGTCATTCTTTGTGCTTTGGGAACCATAAGTTAAGGGCATGGATTCTTTCTGTCAGGGAATCACTGTCCTGGCAGTATTTTTTGTTGCCCATGTGGCAACAAAAGATGGCAACACTGGTTGGGAGCTCCGTTGTGTTTTGTTTGTTTTGTCAGTTTGTACTGTTACATGTGAAACAGACTCTGTCACATACAGTGCAGAAGATCTGCTAAACATCAGGAAGTCCATGCCACAAGGCATTGCTCCTGACTTTTCATTTCCGGACTGTTTTTTAGACATCTTAGTGAGCGGAGCGGCTGCTCTCTACAGCAGGTGCAGACACAGGCGGACATGCAGACATGGGAAGTGCTCTGGAGCACTGGTTAAACTCAGACAGTGCAGACTTCGCACACCGCTCCCCAGCATTCACGTGGCGAATCTTTGGTCCTTATGGAATAAATTTGATGAGCTTTCCCTCCTAAACAGAACTAACAAGGACTTTTCTCTCTCTGCTGTGCTTCACTGAATATTTGGCTCACTGAGTCCATCCCGGACAGCGCGCTCCAGCTCCACCGCTTTAACCTTTACAAAGCAGACCGCTTCACAGAGCTCTCAGGCAAGAAGAAAGGTGGCTGAATCTGCTTTTACCTCAACCAAGGCTGGCGTGCAGATGTCACAGTATTAGCGAAAACATGCAGCCCTGACTTGGAATCACTTTTCATAAACTGTAAACCATTTTACTGTCCGAGGGAGTTTTCGTCTGTCGTTCTCACAGAAGCCTAAATTCCACCCCAGGCATTTGTGCACGAGGTGCTGCGCGGAGCTCAAACACACAGACTCTGTTTTTATTATTTTAGGGGACTTCAACAGAGTGCAGCTCACCAGTGAACTGCCTAAATACAGACCGCATGTTACCTGCCCCACCAGGGAGAGTAATATTTTAGATTACTGCTACACTGTGTTAAAGGGGGCCTATCACTCTGTTCCCCATGCTGCTCTGGGCCTGTTTGATCACTCGCTAATCCACCTCCTTCCAACCTATAGGCAGAAGCTCAAGTGTGCCAAACCTGTAGTCAGCTCTATGAAGAATTGGACCACCGAGGCTAAAGAAAGGCTTCAGGACTGCATGGATTTAACAGTCTGGAGTGTGTTTGAGGATGCTACATGCAGCCTGGATGAATATGCGGATACTGTGACATCCTACCTCAGCTTTTGTGAAGACACCTATGTTCCCGCCAGGACTCGCATTAAATTTAACAACAACAAGACCTGGTTTAATGCCAGACTGAAACAGTTGCGCCAGTCTAAAGAAGCAGCATACAGGAGTGGAGATTGGGCTTTGTACAATCAGGCAAGGAACACACTCAACAAAGAAATCAGAGCTGCAAAAAAGAGCTACTCAAACAAGCTGAGTAGTATGATGTCCACAACTGAGCCATCAACCATCTGGAAGTGCCTGCAGAACATCACCTGCTACCAAAAGACAACGGGCGATCGTCAGCTGGCTGATGAGCTTAACACCTTTTACTGCAGGTTTGAAAAGCCCAGCTCCACACATTCATTCAGCACAGATTCACACCCTCCTGTCATTCAGCCACGTATTCAGCCTGCCCTGAAGATCTGCGAGAAGCACGTGTATCAACTCTTCAGGAAACAAAAAGTGAGGAAAGCACCAGGACCAGATGGTGCATCACCCTCCTGTCTGAGGGCCTGCGCCGACCAGCTCGCACCTGTATTCACAATGATCTACAACAAATCACTGGAGCTGTGTGTCATACCTTCTTGCTTCAAATGCTCCACCATTATGCCAGTTCCCAAGAAAGCAACCATCACAGGATTAAACGACTACAGACCCATTGCTTTGACCTCTGTAGTCATGAAATCCTTTGAGAGACTGGTGCTGACCCATCTGAAGAACACCACAGATCCTCTGCTTGACCCCCTGTAGTTTGCATACCAGGCAAACAGGTCAGTGCGGGCAGTTGTGGGCTGGAGGTTAGGGAACCAGCCCTGTGACCGGAAAGTTGCCGGTTCAACCTCCTTGACTGACAGTCCATGACTGACGTGCCCTTGAGCAAGGCACCTAACCCCCAATTGCTCACCGGGCGCTGTGGATAGGGCTGCCCACCGCTCTGGGCAAGTGTGCTCACTGCTAAACCTAGTGTGTGTGTTCACTAGTGTGCATATATGTGGGCGTTTCACTGCACAGATGGGTTAAATGCGGTGGTCTAATTCCACAGTGTGCAAACACAGTTGGCTGATGGTTCTGGTTCTACTGGATAACGCAGTGAACATGGGACTCCATCTTATTCTCCAACAGCTTGAACACCCAGGAACTCATGCAAGAATTCTGTTCTTGTACTTCAGCTCAGCCTTTAATATGATCATCCCAGAACAGCTACACAACAAACTGTTCCAACTCAGCATGCCAACTGCCACCTGCCAGTGGATCACCAACTTCCTCATTGGCAGAGGGCAGAAGATGAGGTCAGGAAAGTTGACCTAAAGCACCCAGATCATCAGTACGGGCGCTTCACAGGGTTGTGTTCTCTCATCATTGGTCTTCTCACTGTACAATAACGACTGAACCGCCACAGACCCTTCAATCAAAATCTTGAAGTTCACAGATGACACTACAGTCATTGGTCTCATCCGAGACGGTGACGAGTCTGCTTACAGATGGGTGGTTGATCAGGTGGTCCTTTGGAACAGCCACAAGAACCTGGTGCTGAAGCTCTCCAACCCTGCCAGCACTCACCATCCTGGACAGAACTGTGGTGGCAGTGGAGTCCTGCAAGTTCCAGGGCACAACAATCACCAGGGACCTGAAGTGGGACAGCAACATCAGCTCCATCACCAAGAGAGCCCAGCATAGGATGTACTTCCTGCGTCTGCTGCCCCAGGAGCTGATGGTGGTTCTACACAGCCATCATAGAGTCTGTCATCACCACGTCCATCACAGTGTGGGGTAGTTCAGCCACCAAGCATGACTTCCACAGACTGCAGCGCATCATCAGGTCTACAGAGAGGACAATTGGAGTTAAGTTGCCCACATTGCTGGAACTGCATGCCTCCAGAACCAGGAAGCGTGCAGAGAAAATCTCTGCTGACTCGTCCCACCCCGGACACCACCTGTTCCAGCTCCTTCCCTCAGGCCGGCGCTTCAGCCAGATGAGTATCAGGACATCCAGGCTACAGAGAAGCTTCTTGCCCCAAGCCATCACTCTCTTGAACAGTTAATTATTACACATAAACAATATTCCAGCTTCTAAACTGCACTTCTAAATATATTGGTATATATTATCCCACTCAACACTCTGAAACCACCATCACAGATCAACGCTTCTTCTAGCACCTCACTTACTTGCCTTATTACCCCACTTATCTGACTGTCATCTCACTTTTCCCTCTTTTGCCACTATACACCCTTTAATTGCTGCTGCACTCAGCACTTTAACTTAAGACACATGCTTTGCACATTGTAAGGTTTACAGGTATGACTGTGTGTGTGTGCATGTGTGTGCGTGTGTGTGTGAGTGATTGTAGGAAAGTTTTATTTTATCTTGTTTTATTTTATTTTTTTTTATTCACTACATGTAAATGTTTGTCTGATACTGTGCACTGTGAGCTCCTGTAAGCAAAACCAAATTCCTTGTATGTGTAAGAAAACCTGGCCAATAAAGCTTGATTCTGATTCTGATTCTAATCATGTTTAAGATTCTTATATGGTGTGTTGTTAGTTATAACTTTGTACTGACACATACATTCTTCTTATAATGGAAGAAGAATATAGCATATCTCCCAACACAGATTGTTTAATTAGAATACAATACTGCATTAAAAATCTGAACACACTCAGTTTTTTTGTACCTTGGCTTTGTTAAGATAAGATACTGGACACATGTATGTGTAATTAAATGACACTGCACTTGTTTTTAACACCTCTGTTTTGAAAGTGTAGGAAAGGAAGAGTTTACCGTCACAGAATCTGGAGTGGAGATATTTTCCTCCTGCACTGCAGTTTCTTCTGCTGGAGCCTCTACAACCGCTTGTGCTGATGCCTCTGCAGCTGTTTCTGCTAGATCCTCTACAGATTCATCTGCTGGGGCATCTACATTTTCTTCTGCTAGAACCTCTACAGTTGTTTCTTCTGGAGCCTCTTCAGATTCTTCTGCTGAAAGATCAACACTTTTCTTTACTGAAAGCTCTACACGTTCTTCTGCTGAAACTTGTACAGGTGCTTCTGCTGGAGCCTCTACAGCTGTTTCTGTTGGAGTGCTTATGGCCATTTGTTCTGAAGCTACTACAGCTGTTTCTGTTGGAGTGCTTATGGCCGTTTGTTCTGGAGCTACTACAGCTGTTTCTGTTGGAGTGCTTATGGCCGTTTGTTCTGGAGCTACTACAGCTGTTTCTGTTGGAGTGCTTATGGCCGTTTGTTCTGGAGCTACTACAGCTGTTTCTGTTGGAGTGCTTATGGCCGTTTGTTCTGGAGCTACTACAGCTGTTTCTGTTGGAGTGCTTATGGCCGTTTGTTCTGGAGCTACTACAGCTGTTTGTGCTGGGGCTGAAACATCTCCTGATGTTTCCAACTGATGATGCTCTGCCTGCTGGACTGAGTCAGGGACTTCATCAGGAGCTTTGACTGGATCCCCCAGGGGCTTCACCACTGGAGTTTTGGTTGAAGTTGCTTTTGGGCCCTTAGAGCCTTTATAAACTCTCAGCCCAACAGTTCCTTTCCCAGCAGCGGCATGCTGCTCCTCTAGCGCCCTCCGCTGGGCCTGCTGCTCACACACACACACACACACACACACACACACACACATCAAACAGTAATTAAATTACATTAATAAAACCGAAATATGATCACGCAGGAAGGCTTTCTCTTTTTTGCTTAATATTTAGAGTATTTTAGCTCTGCGCTAATGCTTTAGATATATTTATCTCCAACCCTCAGCTTCACAGTCATTCCTAAGATTAGGTTTAGCTGTGTTCGTAAAGAAAATGGCACAATCTGAAAGGCTTTCTAATCAATATAAGACGAAACTCATCCATAAGAGAGCTGAATGGATTAGCAGTGTGCAGCAGACATGAAGTGACATTGAGCTTTTGAGGGAAACCAGGAGCCTTAAAGTGGAACAGCAGCCAAGATGTTTGACTCACGGCAGTAATTGGTTTAATCAGATCAGACATGGAAAGGTGGCAGAGTCAGCAGCCGGATGAGCTCCAGAGAGCCAAGCAGCACACTAATCTCACCACAATACAGCCACAGTACAGCCATAATAGAGCTGTAATCACATCATAATCACACTGCCCGCTTCATTAACCAGCAGTAGGAGCGCAGCAGTGAAGTGAACACACAGAATCAAAGAGAGTTAATCTCACTGTGTGTGTGTGTGTTAAGGTCAAACTATGCAATCGTGTGTGAAGAACTGCCTCAGCTCACACTTGTTGTGTCTGAGCAGTGTTAGAAAATGTTTCTCTTCACTGTGAGGCTGAAGCACTTTAGGATCTAAATTACAGAGTAAAATATGCTCCTTAACTGGTGAACCTGTCAGTTATTTGTGGTTGTGTTGTTGTGTAGAACGTATGTGAGTGTTTGGTTGCTTCTGACTGGTCTGATTAGGTAAATCTGCCCATGCAAAACTAATCAAAACATTGTTGTTGATAATATAAGCTAAGAATGTAGTCACATAGTAATTTTTTCAGATTGAAATTTTGATATAAAAATGATTCATCTTTCTACCCTAGTTAAGAAGTAAACAAGTCATTCAGAGTCCTTATGGTTCTAGAGAAACTTACTGAGTCAGAACTGCTCACAGTGGTGGTGATAGGAACCAGACGTCCACCTCTAAAAGCTCCCTCACAGAAAGTTCCTACATGAAATGGTTATGAATTCACTGCCTGATGACTGAGACACTGTTTTATGATAGTTTAGAGAACTTAAACTCCATTCATGGTGGAGGGATACATGCAGGGCGCTGTGAGGCAAAATAGTCCCCAAAGAAAACTTATTATTTCAGATTTTCCACTATTTTCCATCATCAACATTCCATATAAACTCAGAAGACTCGTGTGGGTTCACTGGTGGTTCTGGATAGTAAATAAAATGTCTATATTTGTGTTGTAGTCATGGCGACCCCTGGTTCCCATCACCACCACTGTAAAGACATCTGAACCATTTCACACCAAACCACTCTGAATCTCTCTGATTACACCTCACACACTGAAATTATGGGGGTATTTTGGATAATTGGTTCTCCCTTGAACTGCACAGAGTGTTTTGGTGTGTGTGTGTCTGTGTGTGTGAGTGTGTGTGTCTGTGTGTGTGAGAGTGTGTATGTCTGTGTGAGTGTGTGTGAGTGTGTGTCTGCGTGTGTGAGTATGTGTGTCTGTGTCTGGTGTGTGTGTGTGTGTGTGTGTGTGAGTGAGTGAGTGTGTCAGTGTGTATGAGTGTGTGTCTGTGTGTGTGTCTGGGTGTGTGTGTGAGTGTGTGTGTGAGTGTGTGTGTGTGTCTGTGTCTGTGTGTGTGTATGAGTGTGTGTGTGTGTGTGTCAGTGTATGAGTGTGTGTCTGTGTGTGTATGTCTGTGTGTGTGAGAGTGTGTGTGTGTCTGTGTGCGTGTTTGTATGTGTGTGTGTGAGTGTGTGTGTCTGTGTGAGTGTGTGTCTGTGTGTGTGTCTGTGTTAGTGTGTATGAGTGTGTGTCTGTGTGTGTGTTTGTATGTGTGTGTGTGAGTGTGTGTGTCTGTGTGAGTGTGTGTGAGTCTGTGTGAGTGTGTGTGAGTGTGTGTGAGTGTGTGTGTCTGTGTGTGAGTGTGTGTGTGTGTGTGTGAGTGTGTGTGTCTGTGTGAGTGTGTGTGTCTGTGTGAGTGTGTGTGAGTGTGTGTGTCTGTGTGTGAGTGTGTGTCTGTGTGAGTGTGTGTGTGTGTGTGTGAGTGTGTGTGTCTGTGTGAGTGTGTGTGTCTGTGTGTGAGTGTGTGTCTGTGTGAGTGTGTGTGTGTGTGTCTGTGTGTGAGTGTGTGTGTGTGTGTGTGTGTGTGAGTGTGTGTGTCTGTGTGAGTGTGTGTGTCTGTGTGTGAGTGTGTGTCTGTGTGAGTGTGTGTGTGTGAGTGTGTGTCTGTGTGTGAGTGTGTGTGTGTGTGAGTGTGTGTGTCTGTGTGAGTGTGTGTGTCTGTGTGTGAGTGTGTGTCTGTGTGAGTGTGTGTGTGTGTGTCTGTGTGTCTGTGTGTGAGTGTGTGTGTGTGTCTGTGTGAGTCTGTGTGTCTGTGTGTGTGTGAGTGTGTCAGTGTGTATGAGTGTGTGTCTGTGTGTGAGTGTGTGTGTGAGTGAGTGAGTGTGTCAGTGTGTATGAGTGTGTGTCTGTGTGTGAGTGTGTGTGTGAGTGTGTCAGTGTGTATGAGTGTGTGTCTGTGTCTGTGTGTGTGAGTGTGTGTGTGTGTGTGAGTGAGTGAGTGAGTGTGTCAGTGTGTATGAGTGTGTATGAGTGTGTGTGTGTGTGTGTGTGGGTTAAGACTGCCGTAGATAACGTGTCGCCTACAGTGTTTAAATGGAAGGAATTTACTCAGATTAGATAGAGAACAGAACTGACGGGTAGTCAGAGTGAACACAGCGCTGCTTCTGCGCACTGATAAAAGCTCAGACGGCCAAAAATGTCGCTCAGGGTGTCACTGCTGGAGTACAAACCGAATATTTACACACACAGAAACAGCCCCAAGATCCAAATGAAAAAGATTTTATGTGTTTATCAAATATATGTTTGCAATGTATGAAAATGGCCAAAAGTGTGTTTGTTAAATATATTCATTCATCATTATTAGTTAAATATATGATCTGTGTTCAGTTGAGTGTAATGAAGGTTCCAGATGTAACTAAACGTTCTTCTGTGATCTGCACTGTACTTTACATTAACCATGTACGTCTGCAGTCAGACTCTCACACACAATGTATTTCACATAAACAAGATATCAGATCATTACTGCATTTTCACAGAGTATCAATACTACAACACTCGCTTCTGTCCTGTTAAAGGATCATTTGATCAGATTTAAAATTAAGATACTGGAACACATTCATTTCTAAAGGTATCAGACAGTGAACAGCATCAGACAGGATTCTGTCTATGTGTAGTATTTCCCCATACAGATTAAAATAAATGAATTTTAAAATAAATTTGGTTAATATGGTAATATAGTCTGAAATACAGTTTAGTGTTTGGGATGTATTTCGATTATGTAAAAATACATGAAAATTACAAACAATATATTTTTTCCCTGTGGGGTCTGAGACACAGCGGCGATACAACACTCATCTGCTGCAGCTGCACAGACAGAAATTCAACCCTGATGTGTCAATGAACTTAGAAATGAACAGAAAACTCACTAAACCAAGAGAGAGCGAGAGAGAGAGAGAGAGAGAGAGAGTGAGACGATGTGTTTGGGTCAGTTCTGAGTTGTGGTGAAGTCATTGTGTGTGGTAACTGACTGCACACTAATGAACTGATAAAATTTTATAAACTAGTTTAAAAAAAAAAAAACATTCATGTTGAAATTTTGATCCAGTCGATATAATCAGATGCAGCAGAGCTGAATCATCACAGATTATATAACTAGCATTAAAACAGATGGGCATGTTGTTGAAATACTCCAAAATCTAAATGATACACACTAATATATGATCAGTATGTTATGTTCAGTGCACTGATATACAGAGAAATCAGAGCAGATGAAGCTGCTGAAGATCTAAACTCTGACTAATAAATGAAGATCACAGAAATGACTGAATTCTGATACTCAATTCTCAGAAAAATTCCCAACTCACAGATCAGCAGAATACTGATTCTAATAAATGCTGAAGAATTCAGTAAAAGTACATCATCTATAGTCCTACTCAACTGTTTGCATAAGAATTTTTTTATTTTCCAAAATGTTAAACTCAACAAATAAACACAAACTCTGCACTTTAAAATGGCCATATTTCAGTGTGTTTCTGTAGAGGGCGTGTTAACTTATTCTCACTTAGAAAATCAACAAAACATGAAATTTGAGTGGGGTGCACAAACTTTTGCATAAAACTGCATGTAGGAACACAGTGACATACAAGAGAACATACTGTAAATATGTATTATACTGTATTTATGAAATATTGATTCTCTCATTTTTGCCGATTATTTGACTTTCTTGTTGCATTTTTAGTTATACTTTTATCTTGTGCATTTTAATTTTTATCATTAATAAACCCTCTTTTCTATTACTTTATTTATTACATTTTTATTACTTCTTTATTTTTTTCTTCTTCCTGTTTTTACTTTGTACTGTGAAGCACTTTGAGCTGCATTTTTAATGTATGAATAAAGATTATTATTATTATTATTATTATTTATTATTATTATTATTGTTATTATCACACTTACCACTCTCCTCATCCTCCGCTTGTTCTTCTTCCTCTTGCTCGGCATGTTTCTCTCAGCGGTGAAGCTCTGAAACGTCCAGCTGAGCGAACACAGTGGGACCTGAAATCTCCTCTAATGCCCACTGAAGTCTTTCCTAATAGGAATTTAGCCCTGGAACTCTGGGGGAGGGGCAGGGAGGGGAAAGGGGCGGGGCCTCTTGAACCAGGATTAGTGGGCAGAGCTCAGGAACCCACACCATGTTTTATTACATGTATTATTTCTCTGTGAATAAAAATGTGTTCTTGCAGTGAAATGAAGCTCCACACCTTTAAATTTGGGGTTCTAATACTGTAACCAGGGTTCTAAGGCTGTAACTGAAACGTTATTTTATAGGCACTGTTCTAATGTAAGTTAGGGTTCCTAAACTTCTAAACAACACAAACTGAGTTACAGCCAAGGTGTGAAATACAGGAGGTCCCGGGGGTTCAGGACCCTCTAATTACCCTCTTGGACTACCTGAATGTCTCAAAATCAAAACCTTGGGGGTCCCTGAAAATTAACTTATGGTGTTATGCAGTCATTGTTTATCTGTTTCCCCCACAATCAGCTTCTGTCTTTGGTGTTCTTAACTAATTAGAGCTGCAGCACTGCTCTGCCTCAGGGTGGCGCTGCAGCAGACCGGTTCACCCAGTTGGTCCTTCATAGTCTAGAAACTGTAACTCTGCCCGGATTCCTCTGAAACACTTTACAATGAGCTGCAGCAGATCTGTAAATCTGAAAACTCGCCCAGTTTCCCAAGAGTTTGGAGTGAAGAGTGACTGTTCCTCATTTCTCACACTGAAGACAGAAGAGGAGACGAGGAAGATCTCAGTTAGTGTGAGGAAGAGCGCAGAACCGTACTAGAACAGAGACTCTACAGAAGAGGAGACGAGGAAGATCTCAGTTAATGTGAGGAAGAGCGCAGAACCGCACTAGAACAGAGACTCTACAGAAGAACAGCTGATAAACAAACATTTACTGACACTGAAGCATCAGTGGTGCTATGGAGAGAGAGTTCACAGACAGACAATGTGGGACCCCCGAATACCAGAGGGCAGTTCACACACTGGCTACACCCCACCACATTCTGTGGTGTACTGGTGTGTGGGCGGGGAAATTTTGGGGGGTTGGCTATGACAGACAGAGCGGTTCTAGAGCAGTTCACATCTATGAGTTCCTGCAGTGCAGAGTGTATTTATCGTCCACTCTGTTATGGAACCTTGTTTTGGTCACTGTTAGATCTGAAAAGCTGAAATTGACATGAATTTCCAGTTTACAGAAAAGGAAACAATTTATTTACTCTATTAACCTGCACTAACACACACGAGAGACCACTCAGATACACTTATAATAAACACAAGTATAATTTTAATAAAATAACATCTACAATTCTAAAAACATTTCAGAATTTTATAGCATGAGTCTGATCTTCAACATAAAACACAGTTCCAATAATGTTAACATCTGTGGAGTTAAGCAGTTAATACCCCCCCACACTCTCACACGCACACTCATCTCACACGCACACTCATCTCACACGCACACTCATCTCACACGCACATTCACACTCACGCAAACGCACACACACACACTCATACAAACACGCACGCACACACACTCACACTCACACACACACACACACACACACACACTCACACTCATACAAACACGCACACACACACACACGCACACTCAAACATACACACACACATACTCACAAGCACTCACACTCTCACACGCACTCACGCACACACACACACACACACTCATACAAACACGCACACACACACGCACTCACACGCACACTCACGCACACACACTCACACGCACACACACACACACACACACTCATACAAACACGCACACACACTCACACACACACTCAAACATACACACACACATACTCACAAGCACTCACACTCTCACACGCACTCACGCACACACACACACACACACACTCATACAAACACGCACACACACACGCACTCACACGCACACTCACGCACACACACTCACACGCACACTCACACACACACACACACTCACACACACACACTCATACAAACACGCACACACACACACACTCACATGCACTCACACGCACACTCACACGCACTCACACACACACACGCGCACTCACACGCACACTCACACTCACACGCACTCACACACAGCCTGATGATCAGATGAACCTCTTATACTGGAAAATTGACATCCAGGAATATTAACCTGTCTAGAACCGCAGTGTTCCTCCCACAGAACAGAAAACGCTGTCCAAAAATCCTTCAAAATCCCAAAGGAACACTGGACACCGTTCACTCCCATCATTCCATGGTGCGGGTGACCACGTCTCGAGGCAGGCAGTCTACACTTTCGCTTGTTCCTGTGATGTCACTTCCTCTCCTGGGCTCTTGGCTGGACGAGTTTAGCTCTGTATTCCTCGGTCTGGTAGTGATCGGACTCCACGGCGCCGGCCGAATCGTTCAGCCTGATAAAAACGTCCCCGTTGACCTCTGTGACCCAGTGGACCCTCTGTTTGACCCCTTTAGAGCACCACACCGGCCTGAGGGGCTTAACTGAGGGGTCGACAGCCTGATAAAGACCCTCTCCCTCTGCCAGAGTGATTTTATACTTATGCCACGGACACACGATACACAGCTGGCCGTCAAACTCCTGCAGAGAAAAAACATCAGAATAAAGCAGTAAAAAACAGTAAACTCAACATTACCATAAAATAACAACAACAATAACAATAATAATAATAATAATAATCTTTTTATAGAGCACTTTTCATGCTGGTGGCAGCTCAGTGTTTTACAGACAGTTTATTTATAAAGTGCTTTTTACAACAGGTGTTGTCACAAAGCAGCTTTACAGAAAAATTATCATTACAGAAAAAAAAAATCTGGGTCTGAGCCCCCATGAGCATCGCCAGTGGTGACAGTGACAAGGAAAAACTCCCAAGAGCAAGAAACCTTGAGAGGAACTAAGACTCAGAAGGGGAACCCATCCTCCTCTGGTCGACACCGGATTCTGTTTTCTGTGTTTTACTGAAGATGTTCAGAAGATCAGAATCTGCAGATCTGAGATCATAAACAGACATTCAGGAGCTTTAAGGTCATTTAGAGATTTAAAAACCAGCAGCAGAGCTTTAAACTCTTTTTGAAAGATCCAGGCAGTCAGTGCAGTGTGTAAATGGGGTGATATGACCTGTATATGAACACCTGCTGGGCTTCATTGCTGTGCTGGTACTTAGTGTCACATCTAAAATATCTAAATCAAATAATTAGCAAAATATTTTCTTGATGAAAAATCTTGATTATTGTATCACCCACACCCTCACCTCCCACCCCCACCTTGACCCCCAATCTCCTCAGCTGGTTCTGAGGCAACACCCACATATTTTACTTTGTAATAAACAGAGTGGTTTCCGTCGTTACACTGAAGCTCTGGAGTTCGGATTTAGATGACTGTGGGAAAATATGAACTACTGTATTTTCATAAATTTAAACAGATCTGAACCATCAGTACTAAAACGTTACAGAACATACTGAACTCCTTGGACAAAGTGTTGCATTCTGGGAAACCCAGTAGACTGAGCACAGAAATGACTCTAAACTAACAGCTTATTGATGCCCTGTAAAAATACACAAATATTTGAATAATTAAACATTAATGTAAGTGTTATTGAATATTATTCACTGAGCTGTTAAAATTAAATCAGTCCTCTTTAGTTCTTTTTCTAAACATGCAGCATCTTTAAAACATCCTCATCAGGTTATTTATCAATCATCCATTTCTGATTACGTCACATGTTCACACACAGCTGCCGATTTTTGTTAGAAAACAAGACAAAGTGTTTTTGAACGCACCTCAATGTCTCCCTCCTGTAGTGGACCACCGGAGTCTACGGACACAAGCACACACAAAGTAACACGTTCACTCTTTCACTGTGTCACTCTTTCACACTTTTTACACTTTCTTTGACTGTTAGCGCAGTGTGTAAATGTGAACAGGCAGGATCTCACACTGAGATGTTACTGCACTGTAACAACTACACAGAACCATCCTATACAGAACACTACTAACTACTCAGAACACTTATATAGAACACTAGTAACTACAAAAACACTGTTCTATAGAACCCTGTTAACTTCTCAGAACCCTATTATTTGGAACCCTGTCAAATAGAACCCTATTATGTAGAACACTGTATGATGTTAAACTGGGCTCTAGGGGTTCTGAGGGGTGGAGCTCTGTTTCTGATTATCGATTAGCTCACTGATCTCAGGACTGATCGAGCAGCTCTGAGCAGAAGCATCTGCTGCCGCTTCACATCAGCTTCTGTCACGGATCTGGAATCAGCACAGATTGCTGGAACTGCCGGTTTCGTAGAGGAATTCCCTCCTGACTGACTGACTCACTCACTGACTCACTCACTCCGCTGTAAACTTCTAAACTCACGCACGGTAGCAGCGCAGATCCAGTGCGTGCAGCGACCCCTGGTGATGGAGCACAAGCACATCTCTCCCATTCACTCTCCTCACCACTCGGCCAGCCTGAACCACGGCGTCCCGCGTACCAACAAAAAACACACCCTGATCACCTGAGGAGGACATCTCACACACCTGAGAGCACGCACACACAGAGAGAGAGAGGAAGAGGAAGAGAGAAAGAGACAGAGAAAGAGAGGGGGGGGGGGGAGACTTTTTTTTAACTTTTTGACGGTCCTTTATTGAACCAGCACTTTCTTTAAAACAGTCATCTGTCACATTGTGTCATCTTAGGCTATATTGAAATAAATTAATTGATTAAATAAAAATAAGACAAACACTTTATAAATAAATGAAAACAAGAAAACAAATAAAACCCAGTCCGGCTCATCTGAGCTCAGGAGCGAAGCAGAGCTCACCCTCGCACACCGAGCACACGGCCCCACCACAGCACCACATCACCTCAAAGGCCTCCACATCACACATGGTCTTATAATAATTAAAATCAATTAAAACCCTGGATCTCACCAGCCTAGAGAGAATCCTTGTGGCCTCACAGTCAGTACCATGCGCCACCTTGTTCTTACGACTGATATATATCGCCATTTTCGCCTGCCCAAGAATGAAGTTAAATCAGTTGGCATTTGGATTTCTCTCTTTTGGCGTACTTAAAACCAAGGATAAAAGTCTGGAGTGTAAAAGTCACATTAAGAGACCTAAAAACAGTCTTTAAAACTTCAAACAAAGAGCAAAGCCTAAAACAGTCCATAAAAGCATGAAACACAGTTTCTCTCTGGGGACAAAACGGACACTGTGGTAAAATCTCAGGATTTAAAACAGAAATAAAAGCGTTGACTGAGACAATACCGTGTAAAATCCTCCACTGCAGGTCAGCTACTTTTTTAGTCAATGGTGGTTTATACAGTGCTCTCCACTCCGGCTTCACATCATCACTCAGATTAAAAACATCACGCCACGGTGTGTCGGTTCATACCGCTCCAACAGATCCACAGACGACGCCATTGCACTAACAGTACACACTGCTCTCACACACCTGGACAGAAAGAATACATATGTAAGAATGCTGTTCATAGATTACAGCTCAGCATTCAACACAATCATCCCTGCCAAACTCATTCCTAAGCTCACAGACTTGGGTTAGAACTCTCATCTGTGCAACTGGATACTGGACTTCCTGACGAGCGACCCCAGGTGGTGAAAGCTGGGGACAACTTCTCTTCCACACTGACCCTGAGCACAGGGGCTCCCCAGGGATGTGTGCTCAGCCCCCTCCTGTACTCCCTGTATACACATGACTGTGTAGCCAAACACACGTCTAACATCATCTTCAAGTTTGCTGATGACACCACCATCATGACACCAGGCCTCATCACTGATGGAGATGAAACAGCCTACAGAGACGAGGTCAGCACTCTGTCAGAGTGGAGCCATGACAGCAATCTCTGTCTCAACATCAGCAAAACAAAGGAGATGATCGGGGACTACAGGAAGCTGCAGAGGGGTGGTCACTCTCCCCTGTTCATCAATGGAGCTGAAGTGGAGAGAGTCAGCAGTGTGAAGTTCCTCGGCGTACACCTCACTGATGACCTCACCTGGTCCCTCCACACCAACACTATCGTAAGATCTGCCCGTCAGCGTCTCTTCTTTCTGCGCAGGCTCAGGAAGTTTGGTCTGCCTCCTCAGATCCTCACCAACTTCTACAGATGCACCATAGAGAGCTTCCTCACAGGCTGCATCACTGTCTGGTACAGCAGCTGCACTGCCTGTGACCGCAAGGCCCTTAAAGGAGTGGTGAGGACAGCAGAAGCCATCATAGGCAACAGACTACCAGCCTTAGAGGACGTCTACCAGTCCCGCTGCCTCAGGAAGACCAAAAAGATCCGGTCAGACAGCGTCACCCAGCACACAGCCTGTTCACCATCCTGCCATCAGGCAGGAGATTTCGTAGCATACAGGCTAGAACAACCCGGCTAATGAACAGTTTCTACCCACAGGCTGTCAGGCTTCTGAACAAGCTGTGAAGCTGTGGGTCCTTCACTAAATACCATTTCACTCAGTCTTTTTGTCAGTATTATTATTACATCATGTCATCTCTGCTATGGACAATAACACCTTAACACTAAGCCACTTTAAGAACAATAACAGTCACTTAGTCACTTTAAAATGTATATTGTCTGTATATTTGTGTACATTTCTCTATATTTGTGTATATTTTATCTGTATTTTCTCTATATTTTGTGTATATTTAATATATTTCAGTTAGTTTTTCTTGTAATTTTATTTTTACTTATTTACTTTCTGTAGAGTGTTTGTCCGAGCCTCACCACAAGCATTTCAATGCATAAATGTCCTGGCATGTTGTGCATATGACAAATAAACTTGAAACTTCTACTGTCCAGTCTTTTCCTATTCAGTACCTTCACACAGGCTCTGTACAGCAGCTTACCAGACTCTGTCCCCAGGTTCATTCTAGACTCACCCTCACACTCCAGAAGGGGGCCTTCACAGTCATGTAGGTGTGATAGTGATGTCCGGGAATGGGTCATGCTCCGTAGGACTGACCACCCCTGCACTGTAGGCCCTCACCTGTTTGCGTTCCTCAGGTGAGAGAGCTGTCCTCCAGCCCTCGAGCAGCTGAGCCACAACTCACAGAGATCTCATCCCCAGCCTCACAGCCACGTCCTCCACCCGAGTGAGATCTGGTCCGGCGATGTCCACCAGCAGGCGGAGGGTTGTGACTTCCCGGATATTTAAAACCACCTCTTCTCCACATCAACCCATCTGGAAGCGCGGGTTCCCCACCATCCCAATCACCAACTAAAACTGCTTCACTTTTGGTCCAGTTTACTTTTGCAGATGATAAAACCCTAAAATCATTTAAAATTCCAGCTAAAACATCCACATCAGTCTGGGTACTTGCTATCACAACAAGGTTGTCTGCATATGCTGAGACACACCGTGGAGTAGAACAGCCAGGTATAAGCAAACCGGAGATGCAGTCTCTCAGTTTGCACAACAGAGGTTCAATAGCTAGAGAGTACAGCATGTCAGACAGAGCACAGCCCTGCCTAATACCTCTGTGCACTTTAAAAGGAGCACATAAACCACCATTAACTTTGAGTACACTCTCAATGTCACTGTACAACCTTGATCATGGCTATAAAACCTGGGTTGAAACCAAAGTTCTCCAGAACTTTCCACAGATATGCATGTTCAACCCAATCAAATGCCTTTTCCTGATCCAAAAAAATGAGACCAGTCTTTAAGCCCAATAGTCTGGAGACTTCCAAAACATCACGGATTAGATATACATTGTCAAAAATTGACCTTCCAGGCACACAGTACGTCTGGTCAAGGTGAACCACCTGCTCTATCACCTTCCCAGTCTCGAGGCTAACGTTTTTGAGAGCAGCTTACAGTCAGTGCACAACAGAGAGACGGGGCGCCAGTTCTTCAGTTCAGCTAGGTCCCCCTTCTTGGGTAGCAGGGTTAGAACGGCCATCCCTTCCCTTATGCTGTCCTGCCCCAACACCGACCAAAACACTGTAAAATTCAACAGGGAGACCGTCAATACCTGGAGCCCGACCATTCTCCACGCCCTGGAGAGCCTCATACAGCTCCCCCAGAGAGATATCTGCATCCAGCACTGCAGCAGACTCTCGCGTGTGGTCACGGAAGAATCCCTCCTCCACCTCTCGTGCCTCTGCCCACTCGCTCTCGTACAGCTTTGAGAAAAAGCTGATTGTCTGCTGGCGAATTTCAGAAGGCTCAGATAAGAGATCCCCTGATTCTGTACGCACAGCATGCATAAACCTTTTCTGTCCATTTCTGCGCTCGAGACCGAAGAACTTTGAAGGAGCATCCATTTCCGACACGCACTGGAAACGTGAGCGGACCAGCGCCCCCTGTGCTGTTATGCCTAAAACGTCAGCCAATGCAGTCTTTTTAGTTTTCAGAGCTTCAATATGCTCCCGATTTCCTGTGGCTTTGAGAGATCTGGCTATGTCCCTTGTGACATTGAGAGTGTACTGCTGACAGAACACTATAATTTGTATTTTAGCTATGTCCCACCACTGTAGCAGGGAGCTAAAAGTCATTTTCATGGAGCTAAAAACATCCCAAAAAAAAAGTAAAAGGCTCTCTAAAATTGGCATCCTGTAAAAGTGCAGTGTTAAAATGCCAGTATGCACTCTGTGGCTTAACGTTACATTTCCTTACTGTGCACTGGACCATACAATCGTCTGAAAAACCAACTGGGGAGATAAGACAGCGTGTAAAAGCAGAAAGTTGGTACCTAAAACCATAAAATCGATCCAGCCTTGCCAATGAGAGTGTGTTATCTCTTGAATGTGCCCAGGTATACTGTCTCTGCCCTCCATGGAAGTTCCTCCAGACATCACACAAGTCATGGGCCTCCAGCATCCCACACAATCTCTTACAGGACGCAGCATGCGGTTCCATGTGGTTCCTGTCCATGCTGTCTGCTGTACAGTTAAAATCCCCACCGATTTACAGCCGAGGGGGATCTTTTTAATGGGGGAGACAAGTTTCCCAAACCGGGACAGCTCCTGAGCGATCAGCTCGTCAGATATAAACGGGGGGACGTTGGACAGAATGATCTTCTTGGACGGAGTACTGAGGGGCAGAACAGACACGAACTGATCATTAATCACGAGTCCACTCTGCACCAGCTCGTTGGCTTTGTCCACAGTGGACAGGAACATCACCACAGCGTTGTTCATGCGCGAAGCATACACAATATTATTGTACCCGACGGCGCTCCCCGCCGCCAAACAGCACTCCTCCACACTCGCGCGGCACTCCACCTTCACTCCATGCCGGCGAGAGAGGCTTTCATACAGCCTGGGGCTTTGGGACGCCATGCTCCCAGCAAAACGCCAGTAACAGACTCCCCGTGGGCCAGAGCCCCGCACACACCCTACCACACCTCACTCACACACACACTCACTCACTCACTCACTCACTCACTCACTCAAACAAACTACAGATACAGACTGACAACGACGCAACAACAGAGACAAAAAAAGTTTGGCAAAACGCCAACCACTCGCACTCACGCCGCTCACCGCGCTCTGCTCACTAACGCTCACACCCGCGCACGCGCAGAGAGAGAGAGAGAGAGAGAGAGCGCATTAATGCTGGACCAGATCAATGACGTTAACTTTAAAGCTGTAGATAAAATTGTAATTACTGCAATTAACCGTAACTGAACATCACTGTTAGCTTACTGCATATAAGCTAGTATATTCTTATATAACATATATATTTTATAGTTAATATATATTTACACCATTAGTTTGCTGTATATAAACCAATGTGTACTTTGGTCGAACAAGAATTTTGAATTTTGCCTCTTAATCGAATTTTCCGCTCCACCTTAAATGGTGCAGCGGCTCCTCTCTGAGGACGCCGGAGCAGAACGAACCTGCAGCACCATTTAAGGTGGAACCGAAAGTTCGAATTAAAAGCTGCCGATAAAAAGCCGATTTCAGCCTCATCTGCTGCGGCGTGTCAAAGCTATTATTATTATTTTTTTATTATTATTGTTGTTGTTATTATGATTATTATAGTTGTTGTTATTGTGATTATTATGGTTGTTGTTATTATGATTGTTATTGTTGTTGTTGTTATGTTGCTTATACAGGCTGAAGTTTTACTCACCGTCACAGCACAGTGATACAGGAAGTGTGCGTGAAGGCAGCAACAGTAGGTCGATTTTTACATGCTACCGTTAGTGTACTTTTCAAAATAAAAGACTCACACTGGTAATAATACGAATAGTTACTAATAACTAGTTAATAATTAGAGCACATTTAGCACAACATAAAACTACTCAATAAATTAAATAAAATATTCAATATGATATTCTATATGTGATATTTTAAAAATAGTGCAAATAATTAAATATTAAAAATAATTAATAAAACAAATGAAATGAAAGCCATTATAATTTCCTTTTCAGTGAAGAGAGTAAATATTGATGGTGGATTGCCAGAATATCACTGCTGTCAGAAGAACACCTTGCATCTCCATTTTTGACGTTTTTTAGTTTTTGACATAACTTGAAAAAGCCTGTTGCTCTTTACATTGTTTGTAAATTTCATGATGAATGAACCAAAAGAAACGGCCCAAAATTACTTGGAAACAATTCTGGTTCCATTGACTTACATTAAAAGTAAAGTAATTTCCTTCTCCTGTAAAGTTACCATTTTTGAGTTACAAGGCTTTGTTCTGACAACAGTGAGATATGGGATGGTTCAGGAGGAGGATGGGGAGATGTGTGTGGTCGTTTAGGGTGAAATACACTGAAACACTTGCACATATTCATACACACACACGTTCTTAACACATCAGTATCGAATGGCAGGACAGGTACAGTGTGGAGAGGAAAACTTGGGCTGGG